CCACATTGGGTTGAAAATGACCTTATTATGATTTTTTTTACAAAATTTTGTCACAAATTGCTAAATTTACTCTAAAATAGTTGTTTTTACTTTTTTAAATTGTGCAAAAAATTTGTTGAAAAATAATACCATTTTTCCGATTCAGGACCTTTTTTAGTCAGAATCGCAATTGTTTTGAAAATTTTCATCGAAAATGAGGTAAAAAATAAATAAACTATCGCAAAACTAAAATTATTTTGGTTCTTTGAAGAGTTTAAGCATGTTTTTGAGGCGAAAAATCATCTGGTTGCTTTTCCAAATGTTTTAGCAGATTTTTTATTCAAAAGCACAAAACTTCGCCAAAAATAAGCCGAAAAATTACATAATTAATTCGAAAATGCTTTTTTCAAACATTTAGTTGCGTTTTTAAGTCTAAAACAAAGATTTTTCTTTAATTTTTGCTAAAAAACATACCAAAAATTAATATATATACCAGACTAAATAAAAAATGACATGATTTATGCTCTTTTCGAGCGTTTTAAAAAATTTTCCATAAAAAACGCAATTATTTCGCAAAATTTTGTCAAGAATACGTCGGAAAGTAATTGAATTAAGTAAAAATAGTGTTATTTGTGCTTATTTTTAAACATTTATTTATTATTATTTATTTATTTAAACATATTTTAGACCTTTATCCACGAAGATTATTTTTGGCAAATAAATAAGTTTAATCTATTTTTTTGCAAATCTGTTTTTATATGCCTTTTAAAATTAGTTCTAGTGTAATATCTAGCACAATCACATAATAAACAAGTAGAATTAACTGCTTTTTTACATTTTTTACATTTTTTTTTCATATTTACAACGGATTTTGTAAGGTTGTTTGGGAGCTTTTAAAATGTAATTATGTTTGATTTTCAATGATTTTCAATAGTTTTTCCATTTTCTGGTGGTCTATTGATTTACAACAAGAAAAGAAACGTCAAAAAATGTTTAAGTATTTTTTTTTGTCACATAAAAAATTATTATTTTTTAAAGATTTTTTTCTTTTGGGAAAACAGCTAAATTTGTTTTTCGAGTGCCCAAAATTATCGTTTATTTTTGTTTTAATTTTACTCAAAAACAATTCGTTTTTTAAACAAAATTTTTCATTTTTTTTTTAGTTTAGGGAATTTTGACGCTTTAATCTAGAAACTTCACTGTCGAGTCCTGTTTGCAAAATGACCGATTGGGTGTAACCCCGATTACTCAAACCGTAACACAATTTTAAAATTGTAACAGAAAATGATTAATCAAGTAGAAATAAGTGTACAGGGTGTCTCAGAATATTGTAAAATGTGAGTTGTGGTTTAATTTTGCGGTTTCGGTGCGGTGCTTCTTCCTCCGCGGCCATTTTCGGTCACAAACTCCATGTTTAGTGCATCTGTGAAAACTGAAAAATGACCATTTCATAATATTTAAGTGAGGTAAAGTGTTATTAAACCCTTCAAAATGACCACAACTATAGAAATCCCGCTCCGTGACACGGATGAGGTTCGTTACCCCACAATTAAACCTAAAATAAACCTCGCTTTTAGGTTATAGAACTTGACTCGGACCAATTACCTGATGGGGACGAAGTTTTGGGTATTTTACGCCAAGAAAACACCCAATTGTTCATTTGGGTCAACCTTGCGGTATGTTCCACAATTTTAGTGCCCCAAATGAGCGTTTTTTCCACAGTTGGAGTACTACAAACAAGGCAAAATCGACGATTTTATTAAGATACTTGAGGCTTCTAGAACTGACGCCAATGTCGATTATCGCGACTATGAGAAGGACCAAATGCGAGCCCTTGACATGCTCGCCGCCTATTACGTCCAAGAGGCCAATCGGGAGAAAAATAAAGACAAAAAACGAGAATTATTCACGAAAGCCACTCTCCTATACACCACAGCCGATAAAATCATCATGTACGACCAAGTAAGCCCCCCAATCACACTAACCCCCATTTCTGAGTCACTGTTTTGTGACATGAGTAGAGCCTTTGACTGTGTTAATCGCAATAAGGGTCAATCTTGGGGCCCATCTTATTTATCTTATACAGGCTGTTCCGTTTAAACCCCACATTAAAAGTATTGGGAGTTTTAATAATCGTATTTATTTGAAAATTGGTACATAGCCATAAACCATTAAGTCCTAAATGAAAATATTTTCAAGATGCCGGCACTTCCGGTTATACCGGAAGTCGGTCGCAACTGTCTTATTTTAAATGGAAAGGTATATTTTTTACTGCGTTTTGTATTAATTGGGTTATTTTAAGGGAGTTTTCATCAGCTTTCCCTATACCTAAATTTAGCCGTTTTTGAAATATTTGGAGTTTTTCAAGTAGACTCAAATAAGGTCATTTTGGTGTCAAAATTACACAAAAGTAACAATTTTTTTGTTTTACATTGTAATAAGAGAAAAAATACACATTATATACCCGACCCGATTTCTAAAAACTTTAAAAAATTGTAAGAATATTAAAAAAAGGCTTAAGAGCTTTACATGAAGACCTATAAACAAAAAAAAAAAAAAATTTTAAAATTGTCAACTAAATCTTATGAATTCCTTTATCTTTTGTATTACCTTCACCTTCTTCAGTTTTTTTCGATATTTGTAGTTTTTTCTCTGATTTTCTTGTTTTAGGTTTCTTTTCTTGTATCATTTTTATTTTTTGTTATATTTTTTCCCAATTGTTAAATTACAGTTTCAGGTTTTGTTTCAACCACTGTCTTTTTTTTGGATAAATAATAAGTTTTTTTCTTTATTTTTTTGTATTTCCGGATTGGTTTTCTATTTTTATTATGTCATGATAATTTTTTGATTTTACTTACGTATATTATTGTCAAATTTCACTTCTTTATTTCTCAATAATTCTTCTCATTTTCTTCAGACTAAGWTTTCAAGTTTTTATTTAATCCAAAACACTTCAAGTGGACCTAAATCCGTTCTTGTTGGTGTCAAAATTAAATAAACCACGAATTTTTCGTTTTTTTAAGATAATAATAATAAGAATGGTACTAATCATAGGTCGAAAAGTACGTAAAACACTAAACAAGAAATTTCAAGTAGACTCAAATAAGGTCATTTTGGTGTTAAAATTACACAAAAGTAACATTTTTTTGTTTTACATTGTAATAAGAGAATAAAATAAAAAGTACACATTATATACCAGACCAAATTTCTAAAAACTTTAAAATATTGTGAGAATATTATAAAAAAAAAGAAAAAAAGTATAACAAAAAAAATACATTTTAAAATTGTCAACTAGATCTTCTGAATTTCTTGATCTTTTTCATCTTCTTCAGTTTTTTTTTGACATTTGTAATTTTTTCTCTGATTTTCTTGTTTTACGTTTTTTTTTCTTGCATAAGGGAGTTTTCATCAGCTTTCCCTATACCTAAATTTAGCCGTTTTTGAAATATTTGGAGTTTTTCAAAAAAATTTGGATCTGCACCTTCCACTTTAAAAATCGGTAACTCTGCCATTTTTTAAGGTTTTGAATTCGGTTTTTTGGCGTTTGAAGGAGAAAAGTTAGATCCTTTTTTTGGTGTTTTCAAATTTTGAAAAAAAATCACATATCCCAAAATTTTAAGGTTACTTTTATAATAATTCAAATACTCATAACTCAATTTTTTCGAATGAAATACCCCAATTTTTATTTTACTAAATAGAAGAGAATTTAATTGTGCATTGATCTGTATTAACATTCCCTATACCTAAATTTAATAATTTTCAAGTTATGGACTTTTTTTAAGACTACAGAAAATTTATTACTAGAGAATCAAAAATGTCAAAATTGTTTCTCAATAAACGTCGACAGTGACTTATTATTTAATAAATAGTGCCAAAATATGAAGAATCAAAGTTATGCAAACTTAATTATTATTGATAGGTACTACCATGCGATCATTATTTAAAGCTAACAAGTGAGAAAAAAAAAATTTGTTTAATGAACGACATCATAATTTTGTTACACTTATATAAATACAAAATAAATTAATTAAATCTAAGTTTGAGTTGCTTTGACTCTCCATATTTTGGCACTATTTGTCAAATAATAAATCACTGTTGACGTTTATTGAAAAACAATTTTGATATTTTTGATTTCCATGGCAAACTATACGAAAACGTAATAGATTTTCGACGGTCTTAACAAAAAGTCACCATAACTTAAAAATTATTAAATTTAGGATACGGAATGTTAATAGAGATCGATGCAGAATTAAATTCTCTTCCATTTAGTAAAATAAAAATTGGGGTATTTCATTTGGAAAAATTGAGTTATGGGTATTTGAATTATTACAAAAGTAACCTTAAAATTTTATGGTTTGTTAATTTTTTTTGAAAATTTGAAAACACTGGAAGAAAGATCTAAGCTTTTTACGATTTCAAAATTTTAAAAAATAGCAGAGTTACCGATTTTTAAAGTGGAAGGTGCAGATCCAAATTTTTTTGAAAAACTCTAAATATTTCAAAAACGGCTAAATTTAGGTATAGGGAAAGCTGATGAAAACTCTCTTAAAATAACCCAATTAATCCAAAAACGCAATAAAAATATAGCCTTCCATTTAAAATAAGAAAGTTGAGACCGACTTCCGGTATAACCGGAAGTGCCGCCATCTTAAAAATATTTTCATTTAGGAGGATTTAATGCATTATGGCTATGTACCTATTTTCAAACAAATATGATTATTCGAACTTCCAATACTTTTAATGTGGGGTTTAGACGGAACACCCTGTATATAAATCAGATTGGCCAGTGTAATTTAGACTGTGACTATATATTATATGCTGACGATTTATCCCTGATAGTTAGAGATAAAAATACTCCTACTTTAGTCAAAAAATATTCAGATATATTGGGTAAGGTTTCTCAGTTTTTCAATGAAAGAGATCTATATTTCAATCATAAAAAAACCAATATTATAAGAATTCACAATTATCAGAAAAACAACTGAAAACTTGGCGTAGTTTCAAGATAAATTCGTTCAGGAGTCGGTTTACAGAAAGCGAAATGAAAATTTAATTCAGAATTAAACTAATTCGAATTAAATTGCTATTTATTTTGCATTGACAAAGGTCAAGTTAAATGAAAATGTAATTTTTTTAATGAAAAATTTAACAAAACATTTCTTCAAGAAAATTATATTGACGAAAAAACACATCATTATTTCATATTTTTTTTT